AAAATTAATTTCACTTATAAATTAATATTATTATATTTAATTATTACTAAAAAAATATAATACAAACAAACTATGTGTAATATAGTTTAAAAGCCTAGTTTCTTTTTAACAATGACTAATGTAACTAGTTCTCGATTTTTTTTCTATGTTTTTAAGTAAATATAAAAATAAAAAAATAAAAAAATAAAGAAAATTCTATTCCTTTTATATATGAAACACCTTTAATATCTTGTACTCTCTAGCATCTGCCTTAAAACTTCTCTAGTTTTCATCCTTTTTTTGGGTGCTTAGAAGCCTCCAGGTTTCTCAAGCTTTTGATGCGTGAGCAGCCAGAGGGCTTCTCAAGCATGGTGGAGGCGGTCAACCGTGCTCCTATGTCCAGTGACCACTTTAGATGGTCTGTTAGTTCTTTTGTGGCTTTGTTGGTGGCCTTTGTTCTCTTTTCTTTCTGTTTCTTGTTTCTTGTTTTGGTTTGCTCAAATTTGGCGGCCAATAAGCCAATCATGAAAAATTCAGGGGATGGCCGCCGCTTACTCTAATGTTCTAGCCATGGCATCCTAAAGAACAAGCATAATTTATATAAGAGTAGATTGAAGGATGTTTAGTTCTCTGACTGGTTGACCAAAGGAATTTGTCAAAATATGTTTCCTTAGCTATTGTTTGTGTGAAATGCTCATTGCCCTTCTTTTATCTGTCTTATGTTGAACTTGATCTACTTTTCATTTTCTCTACAGTTGTGCTTTATCTATTTGTAATTTCTTGTTGTCAATGAGATCAGCTTTTCTTATGTAGATGCCGTATGACTTCGATGAAATGATATGCTTTTTATTGAGTTCAAAAAAAAAAAAAAAAAGAAACACCCTTAATATCTATAAAGAATTCTTTAACGATCCCTGATGATGGAACAGTGTAAAGACATACACAAGTAGATGTATTTTTTTTTTTTTCTATGTGTGGCTCAAAGAAACCTACCTATTCTTATGTGCAACTTCCTTTGTGTGGCTGAGAGAAACTTGCATATTCTTACGTTTTGCCCATACGATGCTTTTAGCATTGGGATGGTGGCCCAACATATGGTAGAAGGCTTAAAACCTAAGCCCAAACCAAACACGAGCATGGGCCTTTTAAGTGTAAGTAGTTTATTGGATATTTATTTGAAATTTTTTAAAAAATTCATTTGATATTTATTTTGAATTTATTAAAAATTTTAACAAATATTATAATATACAAAGATGTAATTGAATTTAAATTTAAACTATTACATAATTAAAATTTTTAAATTAATTTAGAATTGAAGTCACTAATCAAGTGTACTGAAGTATAAAATGAAAAATTATTAGGTTTATTATTATTATTATTATAATACCAAATCAATTTGTTGAATCAAAATGAAGGTTTGATAATTAAAATTAAGAACGGTGAATAATCAGAACATCTTAGTAAAAATTGTCAAAATTCTTTATAAAATTATTTTGATACCCTTAATGAATCATTATATAAGGAAGATTCATTAAGGGTATTAAAATAATTTTATAAGGAGTTTTGACATTTTGAATCTGTTTTGTATAACAGTTAAAATCCAACGCATAGTGAATAACGAGTAGTGGATAGCAAATAACAAGTAGTGGATGGTAATAAGAAGATAGCAGATGGTAGTAAGTGGATAGTGGATGGTGGTAAGTGAATAGTAAAAAGCGGATAGTAGATGGTAGATAATAGATAGTAGATAGTGAATAGTAAATAATAGATTCGATTAATCTAACTATTTGATTATATAATAGTTAGTGATTATTATTCAACGTTAAATAACTAATAGAGACATATTTAAAAATAATTAAATGTACTTTTTTTCTTTTTACATTTTTTATTATTAAAATATTAATTTTATAAAAATAATAATAAAAAAATAAAATAAATTATAATAGTATAATCACACATTAATTTTTATTTTTAAGAAAGAAAAAATTATATTATTTTTAAATAAAATACAAAAAATTTTAATCTTTTTGTCTAATTAGTGAATTTTGTTTATTGAGTTAATATTTTTTTTATGATAAATTAATGTAAAAATAAAAATATAATAATCACTTAATGTTATTAATGAAAAAAATAAAGTTGAATTAATTAAATAAGTACTAATTAAAAATTATGGTCAAAAATTAAGAAATTAAAATGGATAAATTTGTTGATAAAATTAAAAAAATTTCAATGTACTAGCAATTTGATGTAAAAAGCTATTTTAGGTAGCTTTTTTAATCCATTAGTGATTTAGACCTTATTTGCTATTCACTAATTTCTAATCGTAAAATAAAAAATTTTATCAAATATCTAGTTTGTAATAGTTTCAAAATAAATAAACTTACTAAACACATATCCATAGTGATTTGAGTAAAACCACTAACATTACATTTAAACCGTTACACTAAACAGGCCCTTTAAATGTCAAGATGTTTTGAATTTCACATTTCTCTTATATTTATAATTGGAGTTTAGGGTTCCTTAGCCTTCACCATAATTTTTCTTTAAGAAGTGTACTGGATATTTATTTGAGATTTTATAAACAGTTTATTTGAAGAAATTTATTGACAATTTTAAAATTCTCGTTGGAATAAAGGGATTTAATAAAAATCTTCAAATTTCTATTAAGTATTTATTAAAAAATTTAAAAGATTCATTAATTACTTATTTGCGATTTTAACGTGATAAAATGAAAAGAAACTAGTCAATTGCCATCTGTGAAACGCAAGAAAATAAATGCAGGAAAAGGAAAATTTGCCCGTGGTGATGGAAACATACCTTAACTTTAACAACAATCAAAATTATTCTCAAATTTTAATTTTTTTGGTTTTAACTTAACTAGGTACTCCTGTTCACGAAAGTGTTTGTGTCAAATTAACTTGTAATAAATTTTGATTTAAATTGAATTAATTTGATTATAATATACTAATAAATTAAACTAATTTAAAATTTCAATTAATTAATTAAATTAACTTAGTTTTAAAAATATTAAAATCTGAATTAATCCATACCACTAGCACTCTTACAGGAAATAAAGTTTAAGGATGACGTTGATAATTTTTTAAGTAAGAGGACTAACTTAGTCCAAAAGTGAAAGTTGAGGGATCAAATTCGAATTTACCCAAAAAACTAGGAGGAATGCTAGCTGCACTCGCCTTTCTCCAGCACTCTCCAACACTCTCTCATGTAAAATGTCCACGTAACAAAATTTGGCTCGCAATTCAAAGTTTCAAACTAGAAAAGTTCACGTGGCTATTTTAGATGAGGGAGTGTTGGAGAGTGCTGAAGAAAGGCGAGTGCAACTAGCATTCCTCAAAAACTAGTCGACTGGCGTCGGCGAAAAGCTCGAAAATAAACGTGGGAAAAGACTTTTTCTTTTTTTGATCATCTATTGTCATTAGTCATTGCCACTGTGCCAACCAATTGAAATATCGTAAGTTGATTGACGTTTTGTGAAACGCAAGAAAATGAGTGCAGGAAGTGACCCTTTCTCTCCCATTGTCACTGTGCCCTGCCCACCCAATTGAATCATTGTGGAAATGAACCCACACTACTTGGCATATTTGTCATCTCCATCGTCAAAAAAAAACCAGCCTCGCCATCACCAAATTTTCTTTCTCTTTTAGGTCTGGCCTTTTGGACCTTTCTGCGAAATATCTTTGCAGCCTGTATTCGATTCTCCCTTGACATTTCCTTTTACAATCAATAATGAAATTCAAGCGCTATTAATTTTTATTTATTATTAATTAATTTTAAATTAAATACTAATTCATATTATGAATTATATAAATAAGTAGATATTTTACTTTCATCTTTTTACTTACTAAATTATATTCAGTAAATTGTTATATTTATTAAATCACCACATTTATGAAATTAACAAATTTTATTCAATTTTTTAATTAAATTTCATTTATGAATTTAGTTAAATTTATCGTCATAAATTTAGTCAAATTCATATATTAAATTTATGTAATATTTATTATCTCTTAATCCATATATATACTGGCATTGTATGGAGAAGAAACAAAGAGAGAGTGAAAGAAATGGAAGATTATAATATTATACTTCTAAAGTATTTCTTATGTGTTATACCTTCTCTTTTCTTCTTATCTCATTTTATTACTTTACTTTTATTTATATTTTTAACTTTTTCATATTCAAGGACCTAATAATTCGGCATTTGATTCCATGTGCTATCATTGTTTAGGATTAATTGTAAAAACAAAAAATGAAAAAGCCTTTAAGGAGTATCTCTATTTATTATTATATATCATTTTTATTAGAATTTCTCTCTCTCCCTTCCCTCCTCCCTCTCTTATTATGTGCATATTAAATTTGTTTTACCTTTTGTTGTAACTTTAATGAATATATTGTAGGATAAGGGATGAGAGATGATATGAATATAAAGGAGGAGCGAAAAAAGATGAGAGAGAGAGGTAGAGAGAGAGAGAGAGAGGAGTAGGAGGCAGACGACGAGCACGGGCAACATGGCCAACATGGAATCGAAAGAATGCAAGATCCAAAGGAAGAAGCCAATAGAGAGGTCATGAGCCAACAAACCAGAGGCAGTGGGAACAGGGGATACAGAGGAACCAGAGGATGCAAAAACTGGGATTATATGATAAGGGCTTGTGCAAACAAGCCATTCCTTATTTCTTCACCAACTTCCCTGAAGAATGGAGCTACGCAGACATGTGGAGAACCTTCTTAAAGTTTGGAAGGGTTTACGATATCTATAGTCCAAACAAAAAAAGTAGGAGTGGAGGCAGGTTTGGATTTGTAAGATTCCTTAATGTTAATGATAAAAGGGAGCTGGAGAGACAGCTTGATCAAATATGGATAGGAGATCAGAAGCTATGGGTTAATATTCCAAGATATGATGATGAGAAGAAGGAAGAAAAGAAGGGGAGAAATGAACAAACAATGGCACCAAAATTTCAGAGTAGGAGCTATGTTGAGGTACTGCAAGGACATGGAGCTAGAACAAAGGAGGGGGTGAGCAAGGAGGAATTCAAAGTAGATCAGACGAGAAGGCATGGAAGAGGCGAGATCAGAAACAGTGAGGGTAATGGTATTATTGAAAGTAGAAAAATATGGAAAGAAAAAGGAAAGGGAGCAAGTTGGGCCGGAATAGAATACAATATTAAAGAAGAAGAATTTGCATGGCTAGAAGGCTGTTATGTGGGGACGACACATTCAGTAGAAATGGTTAGAAATTTGCAGGAGAAGTTTTACATGGAAGGGTATTTCTCATGTAGAGTCCGAGCAATGGGGGGGTAAAATGGTTTTGTTGGACTGTGAGGATAAAGAAGAGTTAAAGGATTTAGTTGAAATGGCTACAGATTGGCTTGGACAATGGTTTCAAGAAGTTCGACCTTGGATACCAAACTTGGTAGCTCAAGAAAGGTTTGTGTGGATTAAGTGTCAAGGGGCACCTTTAAATGCTTAGGGGTGTGAATTCTTTGAAAAAATGGGCAGCTCTTGGGGGAAATTCATTTGTCTAGATGACAGCACAAGCAACAAAAGGAGGTTTGACATAGCCAGATTTTTTATCTCAACTCCAATTATGGATACAATTTTAGTCACACGCCAAGTTAAAGTCAATGGGGTGTTGTTCAATATTAAGTTTAAAGAGGAAGAGTTCACCAACTGTTTTTTCTCTTTGAAACAAGATTTCATAACCTCATTTCACAGTGATTCAGAGGATCACGAATCATGGTCACTGGGTATTGATACGGATGCCATCGAGGAAGGGTTTGAAAAAACCCAGGAACCAGGTGAAGTGAGCAGCACAGATGCAGGGAAAGAAGATGATGAGGTGGCGAGTGGAAGGGGAAAAAATAAAAAAAAGTCTCAATCACAAGATAGACAAAATGAAGAGAAGTCAGATGAAGCAATTGTTGACAGCCTACTCAAAATTCAAAATTCAAAATTCAAAAGCAGGAGCAGAAAGTATAGGGAGGCTGGATGTGACGTAGGAGCATGGGGAAGAGGCAAGGTTAACACAAACACGCAAAAAGGATGAGGTAGAGGTGGGCCTGAAAGAACAGTCCAGCAGGAGGTTAAGTAAGGAGCCCAGCCAGCAAGTGGCCAGGAGGGTGTGTGAGGAAGTAGCTAGCATAGGTTCGGCCCAATTGGTGACATGCCCAAACAGACCCAAAAAAAAAAAAGAAGAATCTATAACATAAAAAACAGAGGATGAAGTTACCGAGGAAGAAGAAATGGATCCATTCTGGAAAGGATTCGAAAGTGAGGAAGGCCGACTGAAACACTAGATGTGCAGGCGGACAGAGCATATCTAGAAGAGGAAGAAAAGGAAAAGCCGCTCTTGCAAATCACTGTACTCCAACGCTGCAGATGCTGTTGCGGAAAGCCAGAGAAGGAACTCCCAAGGAAGGAAACAAACTCAAGGAAAGGAAGGAAAGGCAACACCGGCACTCATCTTGTCTTCTAGTAGTAAAATAGCTGGGAATCAATTAGAGACAGTGGCATCATGAACTGTAACAGGCTTGTGGAGAGGCAAAGGTGAGATCAGCTAGCAGAGGACATTTGGGAATTTGCGAAGAACCTAGGGGTGGTGGCAGAAAATGAACAGCAGGTTACCTAGAGAATTGATGAAATGGAGAAACGAGATAAAAAGGAGAAAGCAAACATGGTGATGACAGAGGCGATAGGCATCAAGAGGGTAAGAAAAAAATTAAATGATTCTGTTGTCATATAACATTAGAGGGCTTGGAGGGGGTGGGAAAAAAATACAGATTAGAGAATTAGTAATGAAAGAAAAAATAGAGTTTATGGCGATTCAGGAGACTAAGTTGGAGAATGTGGATAGGAGTATATGTAGAAGGGTATGGGGGACAAATGATTTTGATTGGGTAGCGAAGGCATCAAATGGAAGGTCAGGAGGGTTGCTCTGTGTTTGGAACTCAAAAGTGTTCAGAAAGAAAGGGGTAGTAGAAGGGGAAAATTATTTGGGAGTATGCAGGTTGTGGGGAGAGGAAGACACTTTAGTTTACATAATTAATATTTGCTCTCCATGCTTGCTGATGGGTAAAAGAGCATTATGGGAAGAATTACAGAGGTTAATCGCTAGCAAAGGGGGGAAGTGGTGTTTAGCAGGGGATTTCAATGCAGTGAGAAAAGTAGAACGAGCAGGGAGCAGGGAAATAACCAGGGAAATGAGGGAATTTGATGATTTTATACAAAATACAGGCCTAATAGATTTACCTTTGGCGAGAAGGAAATATAATTGGTATAACTCCAATGGGCAATACATGAGCAGAATTGACAGATTCTTGATGTCGGAGGAATGGATCTTGAATTGGAGTGATGTGAAACAAGGGGGTTTAAGCAGATCAGTATCGGATCACTGCCCTATCCTGTTGAAAAATGAGAGCATAGAATGGGGTCCAAAACCATTTAAATTCTTCAATGCTTGGCTGGATCAACCGGGATGCAAGGAGATTATCACAGAAGTGTGGAATACTACCAAGGTAACAGGGTGGAATGGGTACATACTAAAGGAGAAGTTGAAAAGAACTAAGAATAAGCTAAAGGAGTGGAGCAGAAACGCCATATCAGAAGTGGACAGAAAGGTTAAAGAAGCTGAAAAGGAGATAGCCACAATTGATGAAAAAGGAGAAAAGGGCCAGCTCTCTCCACAAGACGTTGAACAAAGAAAAAATTGCTTTCTAGAATTGTGGAAGAACATAAAAATCAAAGAAAGCATGTGGCAACAAAAATCAAGAAAAATGTGGCTAAAAGAAGGGGACGCGAATACAAAGTATTTTCATACATGTGTGAAAGGACGATGTAGAAGGAATGAAATTCTTAGTATTCACATCAAAGGTGACCAGCATACAGGGGTGGCAGAAATAAAGGAAAAGGTGGCCAAATATTTTGAGGAATTATTTACAGAAGAGAAATGGGAGAGACCAAAGCTAGATGGCATCAGATTCAACAAGATATCTGAAGCTAACAATGACATCCTAACAACAACCTTCTCTGAAGAAGAAATTAAGGAAGCAATATGGGAATGTGAATCTTCAAAATCCCCAGGCCCAGATGGATTCAATTTCAGATTTGTGAAGGCTATGTGGGAAGATATTAAAGCTGATATTGTTGGGTTTGTGCAGGAGTTCCATAAGTAAGGCAAGATTGTCAAAGGATCAAATGCCTCATTCATTGTCCTAATCCCCAAAGTGGAAAATCCCCAAAAAATTGAAGAATACAGGCCCATCTCACTCATTGGGGTAATGTACAAGATCCTAGCAAAGCTGCTTGCAAATAGACTGAGGAAGGTGATTCATAAGGTGATTGGGGAGCAGCAGATGGCTTTTATTCGAGGAAGACAACTAGCAGAAGGGGTAGTGATTGCAAATGAGGTGATTGACGAGGCCAAAAGGAACAAGAAGAAATCTTTCCTCTTTAAAGTTAACTTCGAAAAAGCGTACGATAAGGTATGCTGGGGATTCATAAATTATATGATGCTAAGAATGGGTTTTTGTGAAACTTGGAGAAGGTGGATACAAGAATGCCTCCGATCGAGCTCGGTATCAATTATAGTTAATGGAAGCCCGACAAGACAGTTCACGGTCACTAAAGGTATACGCCAAGGGGATTCTTTATCCCCATTTCTATTCCTCATTGTGGCTGAAGGGTTGAATGGGATGGTGACTGCAGCTATTGAAAAGAAGTTGTATAAGGGTGTAACGATGGGCAGTGGAGAGGTTATGGTTTCACACCTACAATTTGCAGATGACATTATCTTTTTCGGGGAGGCAACTGAAGAAAACATCTGGGCTATCAAATGTATAGTGAGGTCCTTTGAGCTGGTTTCAGGACTAAAAATCAATTATACGAGTCAGCTTATGGGTGTTAATTTGGAGGAAGGATGGAAAGAAAAAATGGCATGTAGACTATATTGTAAAGGTGAGGATCTCCCTTTTAAATACCTCGGGATCCCCATCGGGGGGAATCACAGAAAAATAGCAATGTGGCAACCATTGGTAGAATCTGTGAAAAGCAAACTAGCTCCATGGAAAGGCCGTCATCTCTCCTTTAGGGGTCGCATCACGCTCATTAATTCTGTGTTGTCCAGCTTGCCCATGTTTTTGATGTCAGTTTACCTACTGCCTAAAGGTATTCTTTACTCTATTGATAAAATTCGCAAAAGCTTTTTATGGGGAGGGGAGGGAGAGGGTAAAAAAATTAATTGGGTTAAATGGGATAAGGTCTGTAAAAGCATGGTTTAAGTACCATTTTGGTCCCTCAACTTTACACTTTGGTACCAAAATTGTCCCTCACCTTTAAAAAGTATCAAAATTATCCTTGAACTTTCATTTTTGGTACTAAAATGGTCCTTCCGTCAGTTAAATGACAGGTGTCACGTTAACTTGCCAGCAAATCATTTGACTTTTTGCTTAACTAATGACATGGAAAAGAAAAACACAGTTGGCCATTTTTTTTATGAGGTGGCATTTTTATTTAATTTAAAAATTTTGATATCCTTTTTTTCCATCCACGTCATCTCTTCTTCCTCTTTCACTTTCTCTCTTTTACCTTTCCTTTTCCCTTGCCTCTGCAAACCCAGATCTAGGTTCTCTCGCAAACTTCATCTTCTTCCTCCTTTCCTTTCCTTGCTCATCCTTCTTCCTTCTTCTTATTCTTTCTCTCTCTCTCCTCTCCTTTCTTCTTCCTCTTTCAAACCCAAATCTGGGTTTTTCTCAAACCCAGATATGCGTTTCATCACATAACATGGAAACTAATCTCGAATATACTAAACAACAAAGCCGAGATCTCCTAAGCCAACTAACAGAAAGGGACATAGATTAAAAAGAGTAAAGAATTTCTAGAAAAAAAGCAATTCGAACCAAATCACATACAAGCCAACTGCAGATCTAATCTCGAAAATAATCAACACGAAAACCACTTAATCAACTCAGAAAATACACATAGAAAACACAAAATAAGCAAAAGAACAAAACCAGATCTATACCCTCCTTTTCTTCCCCTACTTCTTCTACAGCCGCCGGAAGCCGTCTCAAAACCGCCCCGTAGTCCACCTTGGCCTCTTCTCCAACCACCAGACTCTCAAGGACCCCCAAACTCGTCCACCTGACTCTCAACCCTTCGATCTCCATAAATGGGATCCACACTACCTCTCCGAATCCCCATCACCCCCGTGAAACACAAACCTAGGCTCCGAATCGAGTCTCTGCTAAGGATTCTGTGATGGGTCGCGAGAGCAATTCGACAATTGTCACCACGGCCAACGGGAAGATAGGGACCACGGCAGCGACAGCTCTTGCACCAGGATTTCGATTCCACCTGACTGATGAAGAGCTGGTCAATGACTACCTTAAGAGGAAGATTTTGTCTAAACTCGTGAGTTTAATGCCATTGGTGAGGTCGATATCTACAAGCAAACCCAGATCTGGGTTTGTGTCTCAAACCCAGATCGGGGCTTGAGACAAACCCAGATCTGGGTTTGTGTCTCAAACCCAGATCG